GTCCATATCGATTGTGGCCCCAGGAGAAGACTTGGCCCCCTACGAGGAGAATTAGACATAAAGTAGAATGTCTTTACATGTGGGAAACATAATAAGCTGAATTAATTGTGCATTATGTTGGTACAAACCATCCTCACCTCTTGAAAGTGCATGGGAGTGCCAATACCCACAGGCTACCTGAGCTATTTGTATATCTGACAAACTCTTGATATTTCTGAAGAAGAAAGAAATAAGCATTGTTTGTTACAAACATTTTGTGATCTCATCATGTGTAGCACAATGGTATTAATAAAGTGAGTTTGATATCTAGATGAACATGTTGATACATTTCGGTAATCGCTTTGATCATGACCAAAATCCCTGGATAAGATATATTTTAAACAGTATAAACTATCTGCCAAAATGTGTCATTGAGTATTTTACACTGGAATTATAATTCATTTGTTATTCTAAATACATTTGCACAAGGTTGTACTTTAAATGTCCTTTTTTGAATGGTGAAAATTGCTTGTCAAAAAGGGAAAACGCCTAAATAAAAAGGAGACTTATAGCATTACCAAGTCATGTTGTGGATTTGTATTTTCTTTAGAGTAGAATAATTATTTGACGGTTTTCTTTAGCAAAGTGCCTCCATACAGATATATCATTAGAATATTCCTCGTAAGTGTAAACCTACCTGGTAATAGAGAACCTAAATCTATCGATCATAAATCTATCGATTTGATTTATGATTAGAAAATTATAAAAGTAGGGTAGACATGTGGAGATTATCCGGCTGAACAAAACGTGATCCGTCTCTTAAATGTGTGTCAACCACAGACCTTATTTCGAGCTATTTTCCAAAATCCTATGGAGAAATTGCATTGCATTTTTGTTGAAGGAACCGGAAGAAGTTTACTTCCGGGTTTTAGGACGCGTCACTGCGGTTCTCTATAAACCTGTTTCTGATTCTGATTCTGATATTATGTAAGGGGAAAATATTTAATCAACTAGTATTGATGTGGTCAGATAATAAAAGTTGGGGTATCAGTATCGGACATGAAAAAATGCTATGTAGCCATCACTAGTTTTAATTAAGTCTTAACGCAAAACAATCAAATCAGTAAATCTTAAAAATGAGCCCACCTAGGCACACGGACACATTCTTCAAAGTTATTTAGGCCCAGCTGCCCATCTGAGCCCTGGCCCCAAGAGAACACCTGCCCTTTGTCATTCAAGGCGAGTGTATGGGACTCTCCACAGGACACCGCCAGTATGATCTGTGCATCCAGGGCCACTACCTGTTCTAATAGGACACAAAGAGAAATGAGATTAATTATTTCCCCAAGTGGTATCATACAAAAATACAAATAATGATAAGATGTATATCACCAACCTGGTTTCTTCCTGCACTTCTCATGGCCCAGCTGCCCCAGGTCATTGCAGCCACAGGTGTACACTGTCCCATCCTCCAGCAGGAAGGCTGTGTGTCTGAGGCCACACCCCACATCGCACACTTTCTTCCCGTGGAAGAATTCACATTTTCGTGGCTCAACCACAATCTCTTCATCAATCCCACCCAAGCCTAGCTGTCCGTAGGAAGCATTTCCCCAGCACAGCATTGTAGTTTCCCCCTTTGGCTATGCAGGCCTGCAGGATCCCGGTCTCTGTGAAAACGAGAGAGACACCTCTGCTAATATAACGTTACAGAGCACATTCAGACACTTCAGGGTGCAGGGTGCACTTCATCTGGTTTCACCTAGCAAGGTAGCCACTTAACGTTATGGCTATTAACATTATGGTACGCGTACTTGTTAATAGCTTATTTGATACCTTCAGGATGTAATAATATAAATATTACAAATATAATGAACCCAGAGCAGGTAAGTCATATGTAAACAGATTAGCCAAGTAAGCTACAGTTGAATTAACGGTTAAATTAGTTAAGCTTAAATCACCGAACCACACAACTTCCGTCTGGGGCGTCTGGATTTCTAAATTAAAGCAAACGGCTAAACATGTCTTGAAAATGTACTGCTAAAATGTTGTACTTAAACAGATTAACAATAGATCCAGAAGAGTTCATATTTATGACGGCTGTCATAAAAAACAGTAACTGCCATGTTTCTCCTGAGAAATGTTTTTAATATTCTAACCGGAAGTAGTATTCTTGTTCTGACAGGCGCACCGCGGAGACAGACAGCTAGCATGCCTCTTGACGTTGGTTTACCCATGGTTTACCCTGATGATCAGTCATAATGACTGAGGCAACTTTACTTAGTATAATTAGCTTTAGTTAACAGTATAGTTTAACAGTTATGAATGGCAGTTACAAATAATTTCAATAAAAGCGTATAACACGTGGTAACATTGATAGAGTAGCTTTACTCCAACAGTGTTGTAATGTTAGCAAGCTAACGACAGTCACATCCCATCTAAATTAGCCTTATTAAGGTGGTTGCACAGCTATGTAAAATAACTTAAATATATGTTATTAATGTACGTCTTGTGAAGCAGTAACGTTGATCAAGTACATGGTGGTCCTTACGTTCAGTTTACTATGACATTAAAGGAAAATAGTAAATCTTACCAAACCCTCCAGATTTGACAATGTTATTGTCTTCCAGGGTTTGCTCACTAGTTGGTCCGACTTTTAAAAACGCACATACCTGCACACTTTGAGTAATTAATATTAAAAGCCAACTGCTAGCTTGTTGTAAGAAAATCCTCCCCAATCCCTCCACTCCGGTGTCTGTCAACAACTACTGTACAGGACTGGTGAAGACAGCTGTCAAGTTAGCTGCACTAAGACTTTGAATATCCGGTTTTTACCTTAGAAACAAAACTCACATTGTAGTAGCGTAGCGGTGAGGCGTACAGGACCGTGAAACGAATGTGTTTTCCAGTTTCACTAGCTACTGAGAGTACTCTCTGGGTAATATGAACCCTTTTTAAATAATAGTTCAAGAATAAGTGTGTTGACTTTTACTTTGAAAGTGCAGAAATGTAACCGGAGATGCTCCTGCTTTCACATACACTTGACTTTATTTTACTGAGAAATGTCGCGATGCAGCCACAATGTTCTAGATGGGCACACGCGCATGCGCCCCTCTGCAGCTGTGTGTACACACACTTTAATTTAAGCACACAAAATAGACATACACGCATATACACTGCAAAATAACTTACTACTTTGTATTATTTGAGTACTGAAAATAATGCTAAAGGTAACATAAGAATATTTTTCAAATATAAAAAGGTACAATGGAGTAGTGAAGTTAAACATCTACACTGTAAACACTATAGTTCTAGTGTTTAAACTGTACTATAATATACATATTTGTCTAACAATGTTTGTTGACCTTATGCCATTTTCTACTGAAAGGATTCATCTGCTGTATCTAATTTGCTTTTCAAAGACACGATTCAATCTTAAAAATGTCCAATAAGAATAAGGTAATGTGTTCTTTGAGACATTTGTCTCCCTCTAGTGGACGTTTAAAAAATATCACTCATATAATATATCCCTATACCCTGTATGTTTTCATTCAATACTAGCTGCTAGTAACCCAAAGAATATCAAAAGACCAAGTGTTTGATTTGACCATAGCACAACACTAAAATCATATTTGCTTCTAACTGGGGAGATTGGAACTATCTGTTATTGTAGTAATTAACAATTAATAAATACAATATTAAGTATAATATAAGTAAACATCTTCAAATACTTTCTTTAATAAAGGTACATGAATCACTGAAATATGGTGCGAGTATCCTCTATTAAGTATCCTCAATAGATTCTGGATTGTTTAGGCTGATGTATTTACATGTTAAGATATATATATTTTTGGATCAGGTCCAGGTGGAGCTTAATTGAAAGATCTCATACTGTTTGACACACCAACGTATTGTATTTTATATTTTCAATTGAAATTAAAGTAACTAGAACAGTAGGATAAATGCATTGTCAAAAGTAAAAACTACAATGTTCCATCTTAAATTTGGAGTAAATGTATAAAGTGAAATTAAATATAAGTAGGCCACTCAAATACATTACAAGTACTTTAAAACTGTCACATGACTAAATTGCTTTACTACACTTACAATTAAAATTAAGGTTGACTATTGTTGGTTAAACAGTGTTTTACAGAACATCTTATTATTATCTCATATTATTTAAATAACGGTCTATAGTACACTCATATTTATTCTGATGATAGTGTCTGAATTATAATGTATATTTTTATACTTGATCCATAGTGTATTTTCAAAAAAATGTTCTATACCGCTGTTAATAATGTTTATACCTCCTTATAATGTTCATTGTGTAAATACATCAGCATCTTTCTGTCACATGTATATATATTTATATTTATATAATACTTGAATAACTCACACTTTCTGCTTGTTTTGCACTTCTGGTTAGATGCAAACTGCATTTCGTTGTCTCAGTACTTGTACTCTGTGCAATGACAATAGAGTTAAATCTAATCCAATACATTTTTACTTTCAATCAATACACTTCTAAATAAGGTCAGGTATAAAGTGAAATTAAATACGTAGGCCACTCAAGTACAATACAAGTACCTCAAAACTGTACTCACAAGTAAATTGCTTAACTACACTTACTATTAAAAGTTAGGTAGACTATTTTAAGTTAAAGAGTGTGTTTACAGAACATCTTAACCCCAATACATTATTTCCTTTAATCAATACACTTCTAAAACAGGTCAGGTAGATGGAATTGAAATGGACGGGTGGTGATTCAACTCGTGTTTTTTCCAATGTTTCTCAATGCTGCATTGCAATCTGAGATCATAGATCATGCGCCAGTCGTAACTCTTTTCTTTTGTTGCTATTTTCAGGTGACAGACATCCCACGGCGTTAACACTGACAGGCAATGATAGCCCTCTATTCACAATAACATCCCATGTGCCTGATGATTAACATCTTTCAGGTGTAACAACAGGTGCTTGTTAAAATCCTGTGTTTCCTGTATTGCTGGTTTTTCATGGGTTTCTCCCTTTGGACCTACGCACTACGCAGTGTAATATCTCAGAGCAGGAGGAACTTTTTCACTCATATAAGATACAAATCAACGCAGAAGCAGGAAAGAACCAAGAGAAATAAAAATGTTGCAATTGCTGGGAGTAAGTAAAAACCTCTTTTACATGATCTTTATTCCTTTTATGTCAACTAATTGTCCAAAGAGGACTGTCATTTATGTAATATTGAAATATATTTTCTTTTAACATGTTCAGACGGTTGTTGGCCTCCTCTTCATCATAATGTGCTTTTCCAAAGGACTCAAAGAGGTGAGTAACATTAACAGAAGTACATTCTCCTTGTACATTGTTTTATGTTTTTTTAATTTTATTTAGAAAAATAATTAGACATACATAGACATTTAAAGACTGCACCCAGCTGCTAGCCGTATACGGCCCGCGAGACCATTTGATACGGCCCTCGAGGTCATTTATAAACACACGCAAAAAATTAAAGAAATCTAGACCGCAAAAGAATTAAACGAGTGCCTGTTTTTCCTGGCTAAGGACAGGGTCCTTGAACACAACACGAGCCTAACGTGTCATCACGTTGTATATGTCTCGTCTGACAGGGGTACAGTTCTGCCGGAAAGCACCGGAACGCCACTCCGGGACTTCAACAATTGCAGTACCCATAAGGAGCCGTACACATGCCGCAATTTTTGCGTGGCTGTGTCTTTAGTTGAAAGCCCAGTGGCGATCTGTTCATCTGTCATACTGATCATACAGTCAATAACTTTGTTGTTATTAGCATCTGGTTAGCTAGCTATGCTAACGAATATAAGAAGCTTTTTCTACAACCAGTGAGGTAAAGGCACATCTTTATATGATCATTATAGTTATACAAGAATAAGAGAATAAAGGAAAAACTGGTATAAAATACTATATGACAGTAAAAAAAAGTTGTTATTAATAAACAAGAATACAGTTTGAAAAGGGAGTGATTTGTAAAATATCCATAAAGAAAAATAAAATCTGCTTACAGTTCTGTTTCATATGGGTGTTGAGAGATGTATCCATAGATCTCTTAATGTTGCTCTCAAAGTGCACCAGATTGATGCTTTTAACTTCAACATTTAAAAAAAAATCTTCCCGGGGGAGCATGCCCCCGGAACGCCCTAGAGGAGGTTAGGTCCCCCCCCACTTAAATCATGTCCACATGGATAGGAAACGAAATACATTTGCACACATCTTGTGTCCATATCTTTCTGTTTTGGTGGTCATGCCACAAACGTGCACGTGCATGCATACGCGAGTCATGGTAAAATATCTGGATTAAGAGGTTGCTTTTTCTTTGCACAGCATGAAAGAAAGGCCAAATGAATGGGCTGTGATTTTAGTTTTTTTATGCAGAGGTCAATAATTTGTACGGCCCTCGGAGAATGTTGTAAAAATTGAAATGGCCCTTGAGAGGAAAAAGGTTCCCCACCCCTGTGCTAGACGATTGACAAGTTTAAGGAAGTAGGAAATAAGGTGTGTTGCTCAGAAATAAAACTTATTTTTCGTTGACAGGGAATTAAACCTCAAAGAATACAACTATCTGAATCCCTTCCCAACAACAAGAAAGTAAGTAACCAAACTAAGTTAAATGATTGTTGTTTACAATAACTGAGAGGACATATTTAACATTCCTTTCTTCAGCAGAAGGATCTGAGCGAAGAAGACTTGCAATTATTGGCAAGGATCCTTTCAGTTGGATTGGTCGATGCAGATCCAAACTATCTCCACCATCTTAAATGCTACAGAGACTTGCGTGGTCCCTGATCTTCTTTAAAATAAAAAAACAAGACCAAATACCGCAATATATTGACAGCATACTGCTATTCCTGGATTTATCCTTGGAGTTTTTACAGTGGCGTATCCACCATAGCGCCAGGGTGGGCCCAGGTCCACCCAGTTTACTCATTGGCCCACCCTGAGAAAGCTTCGGTGTCATTTTTAATTTTTTTATTATTATTATAAAAAAATGTATTCACCCATTGAGAATATCCAAGCATTCAAAGTGAAATTCAAGTGAACAAATATCGAGTTGAATTAATGTTGTATGTGTTTTATCCTCTGAACCGAACTCATTTATGTTAAAAACTGGTTGTTGGTTCCGGCGCGCGCCATAGTAACGTGAGAGAGGCAGAGAGCTGCCTGCAAATGATAGCTCAAAGTTCACTAATGAACTTTGGTTTTTAAAAAAAAAGCCAGACTCCAGGGCCAGGCTCTCCGACTAGTCCGGAGACTGTTACGGCCGCTTGCTCCACGGCGCTAGCAGTGCTCCCTCCCGCTCCCGGTCGTCAGCATGAAGCAGGTGTGGGCCTACCCGCTGGTCTGTCTGCAATTGATGAACCGCCTTCACAGCCACAATTCAAGAAGTTCCCTTACACTCTAAATCATGGGAAAGCAAGGTGCTTCTCATCAAGGTGGTATGGAGATTTTCCCTGGGTGGAATACAGCGCAAGTAGGGACGCGCTTTTCTGCAAAATGTGCAGACATTTCCCCAGCCCAGGAGCTGAAGGTGCATTTACGAGGGATGGATATTTAGACTGGAAGCACAGCGTAACTCGTTGGAGAGACATAAAAAAAGCGAGGACCACTGCAAGTCCATGAGCAGGTTTGAATGCCACAACCTATTGTTGCTGTTAGTGCAATACAAGAGTAAATAACCCAATTTGTGTTCTGTGAAACTGAAAAGGATATTACATTGTTTTTGTTACTTTCGTTGCAGTTGTAAATATGTCTTAAATGTAATTTAGGTTAACTTCCTGTGTTATTTAGATGCTTTTATTTTGAAGGCGAGTTTACGCTGTTGACAGGAAGTTGTTGTTGCTATGGAAACAATGTGACGGAGAAAAGGAGCGGAGATTAATCTACATATAAAGACGGAGAAAGTAAAGGACAAAGTTTATGTTTAAGTTTAGCACCCCCCAAAGAGGAACAAAGTTGGTATTAACTATAATATAAAAATGTAGGTTGTGTCCTAATTCGTTTGTATGCTGTTTTGAAGCTTTGCTGTCTGTTTACAGTTAACATTTGATTTGGAAGTATGCTAACGTGATTATAATACGAATGGAGCCTAAATGTATTTGTTATTTTATTTTGTGTCTTTATATCTCTTACGTTGATATTGAAGATTTCAATAAATTCATATCATCAGTCAAGTCTAAGACCATTATTCGGAGGGAAATGCTACAACGATGCTTGGCAATGGGCATCATTATATGTTATTATTATAGGCCAGGCCTACCTTTCCCCTTGGAAAAAGCTGGCCCACCCTATTTTATACAGGCCCGCCCTAAAGTACATTTTTGCCTACAATGGCACCAAATCAAGGCTACTCTGCATTTTGTTTTGGATACCACAAGTCAAGCAATTCCTGCCTCCAGATGTTCCATGATAATGGAAAACATGCACTTTTTTCAGGTCAAACGTGACATTGAAAAACGATTATGGAATGTCCTCCCCTTTGTGTGGAGGAGAACTGAATGGCGCCTATAATGTTTTTTTTTAAAATATATATCTGTTGTAATTTATTGTCTTTTATTGTGTTTGTAGTAATGTGTTTTTATTACATGTACAGCACTTTGGCTCGACCAAAAATCGCTTTTAAATGTGCTTTATAAATAAAACTTGATTTGATTTGATTATAATGGATGTGATGATGCTGATGGTGAATACTGACTGTTTCCTTTTGCCTCATTGTATACTTTGTGAAAAACAGCCACTGATATCATACATTCAACATTCATCTCTTTTCATATGATAATGAACATATAGAAAAAGGCATAACTTGTGAAGTTGCTTTTAAGTGGAACTTGCTTTACTATGCTTGCTTTAAATTGCTTTACTCAAGTGTACCATGCCGTTTGTTGAGCTGTAAAATGTAATTTGACCTTAAAACGTGATGTGTAATTTAGCTGTTGTACAGTTTCAGCCCATAATATTTTAAGTGAGACTGTAACTTTCCTAAACAGCAGCTGAGGCCACACTTGAATCAGATGGACAATTGCTAATTAGGTTTTAAGCTAAATGCTAAACAGTTGTTTACTGCTTGCTAGACAGTAGCACTAAGCTAAACGGTAGCATTTAGCTAGACAATGTAGCGTTTAGCTAAATGTTTTGAATAGAAAGTAAAGAACAAGCATCAAATAACACAAAGTACCATAAGTAAAAGCATTCATTTAGTATTAGTATATACTTTATTATTTAAATATCATTATTGATACATAGTACATACTGTGTTCATCACTTCGATGTTGCAGCTGGTAAAGAAGGGGCTTATTTTTGAAGTACTTATACTGCCTGGTAGCTTTTGCGAAGGGATCAATTATGTTATAGTAATATGATACATTTTAGTTTTGTCATTATATTTTGTATTCTTATTCTGGATCTTCAAAATAACTTAAGTTATCAGATATATGTCGTTGAGTAAAAAGTGCAATATTTTCAGCTGAGATGTATTTGAGCAGAAGTAGCAGGATATGGAAATACTCTAGCAAAGTACAAGTATGACAAAATTGAACTGAAGAACATAACTTGATATCATGTTGAGTAACTGTACATAGTAATGTAAAGTTAGTGTCCACCACTGGTCACCTCCTTACCTAGAGTAAAGGAGACAAAAGGGAGAGATTAAACACAAATGAACTTGTAGACCTATGTTTTTGTCCATTTATAAACTTAATGTGTCTTACTCCAGAAGTGGCTGTTGAGCTTGTTTCCTAGCAGGTAGAGCAACACCACCACAGACATGTTGAAAAAGAAGAGGCCCACCAGACCAGGTGTGCTGAAGTGTGCAAGAAGGGGATACACCCAAATCCCCACTGACAAGTATACCCATATAATCCTGCAGAACATGTTAAGAGACAGAAAAAAATGAAACTGCATTACTGTATCTGTCAGAACAACTTGTACAGTCTTGTCTCTTGAACTATTTTTCTTGTGGAAACATTTAGTCACATAGCTTCCCACCCACTAAAACTGACAACACTGATTGTAAGATTGTAACGGCACAAAAAATTACATTAAAAAGGTAGCATTAAGGTATGTGAGCCAACTGAAGGTTCAAAGTTACCCCTCAAGGTTCTGCATTGGACTAGTCCAGACAAGTAAGAGTAAGAAATTAGACACATTTAGACACTGATTTACTTTTAGCTGCATTAAAACAATAATAAGACTGCGTCATGTTTAAAATGAAAGATGTTAAATCAAGAAGGATTCCGCTATGATATATGTGTGTTCACTATATGCCTAATAAAAGTTTTTTTTGTCATGATTGTGCAGAATGTGCTGACTCAACACTTACCAAAATAAGTAGGCCGCACCCACACCTCCTAATGCTTGCAGTGCATGCTTTGTCTGTGGGTAGATGTGAGGCTGCACCACCACTTCTCCGAGTAAAAAAGGAAGGACAAGTGTGTGCTGAGAAAACAATGTGGGGATAATTCATTAGTAAGAGTGATGGATTATGACAAGAGAATGAGGATTTTTTTACATAAGTTTGTTAAAAATACAGTTTAACGCACCATAGCGTGGTTCATCCAGGGAGGAAAGAAAGTGTCAATGGTTGCTGGGTAGACTAATTCTCTGTCATAGGCAAAGATCGTCCAGAAAAATATAACAACAAACTAAAGGAAAAACACAGAACAGGGAGTTAATGTGTAGCACAATTCTTTTTTTATGGTTAACAATGTATGGAAGTGTTTTGTGTTTCTCACCGTGCCAACAGGGAATGCAAAGACAGAGAAGAGAAGGTCTTTACATCTGTTCAGAGTACTCTCTGCCTTGTTACCAGCTTGTAGATCACTCAGTGCCGCCAGTCCAAAGAATAACATTTGTAATAACTGGAATATTGAAAGCAAACTTATCGTTTACCATTAACTTAATGTTGAAAATGTCTAACAAATGTGCTTTAGATGTTATTGTACTCACCAAATTCAAAAAAGTAAGGTACTTCCAAGGTCCCCCATACACAAAGATTCCTGGTGGTAACTGCTCTCCATCCTTAGCAGCGAGATTCTTCACAACAAAAGCATACCAGCTGAATATTGCGATGTGGTAAACTCTCCTCATGGTTAAAGTCATTCTAATATAAACGTATACTGAGCCCTGACAAGCAACAAGAATAAATTAAACACTGACAGAATAACTAGTCTTTAAAGCATCCCTTCAAACTGTTGTTTCTTTGGGCAGAGAATGTTCTTTAAAGATTAGTGTAATGCAGCACAAGCTTATCAAGACGTTTGTAAGCAGCGGAGACAAGAGGACCACTGTTTCAAATGAAGCATAGGAGTCCTTCTTTCATAACCAATGCCATAGCATGTGACCGTGCACAATTTCTATTACAGAAAGAGCTTAAAGGGTTACTTACAGTGTTTTGCGAGAAAAGCCCCCACCCAGCACCAAGAGTGTTGTTTAGTAGTTGAATTGTGACTTCATGGAGGGGTACACATTTTGTTGTCAATTGAACTGAAATAAAAAAGATATACACTGCCTCATTAAGTTCTTTGTAAATAAGATCACAAGGCATGATACATCTCAAGTGATGTTTGGCAGATTTAAAATAGACACACGTTTGCTCTCTTAGGTTGAATAAAGGCAACATTGTTAAGCATTTTTTAATGAAGTGTTCTCGCGAGTATTAACGTGTTCAGAGATTTGCATGCTGCTAGTTATGGATAATCTTGTCCTGAGGGTGGTGGTAGAGGAAAGGTCATTTGGTTGAAAGATTCATGAGATTAAGGGATGCCTTGTGTAGGCGAGGAAATCAAAGTAAGTCATGCTTCGATAACCTCATAACATGTTATCTAAATTGTTCTAGTACAGATGATTGTTTGCAGTTCCATGGATCCTCTCATTAAGCCGAAGAAGAGAAAAGATACGCTATTTAATCCATATTTGACAACTGACCTTTTAATCATGTCTTAAACCAATAAGATCTTTTAAAATTTCATTAGTTTCTAAGATTACATTACATTTAGCTGACGCTTTTATCCAAAGCGACTTACAATAAGTGCATTCGACCAAGAAGATACAAACTTGAAGAAAACAGAATCATATAAGTACATCAGGTTTCATAGAGCCAAAACATTTCAAGATTAATACTTGATACTCACACACTGTCAACACAGGTTATAACAACTTATTCATTCTTTAGAGACAAGTAAAAAAAGAGTAGGTATTTTTGACAGAACCCATTTTGATCTATCCCATTAGAAAAATTACAGGAGTAAATAATGAATGATGTTTAAGTTCCATATACGTTTCAGGGTGTTATTGTTTATTCTGGCTAAATGGGACATTTTACTATAATGGAGTCATAGTTAATGTTATAATTAAGACCTGTGATTTCCCTATTATGTAAGATCTGAAAAAGATCTATACAGCACATGATAAATGTGAATTACTCCATTTAGCCACATTTTATCAACAAAACCAGCGCTGCTTCTCATAGTACCTTCTTTTGGCAATTTCATGACAGGATAACACCACCATTTGATTTACAAAGGGCAAGTGCTGCTGAAGACAGACTCAATAAATCTAGTATTTCAAGGCACAATTTTACATACTGTCGTGTAGTCTTTGCAGCCTCAGATTTTCTTGTTTCAGTGTACAGTACAGGTATGACATGTTTTCATTGAAAAAAAGCACATTTCCAGAGACAAAATAGGGTTATTACATAAGATAACACCATATATAGTCACTTACCCCAGTGGAATCTAGCCATGCATGTAGCTTTGGTTTTAAACATAAAAAATGACATAAAAAAAAAACGAGACATATTTTTTACTTTTTGTTTGTTTGATAAACAATTCATCAAAATACCACAATATGGTTGACACTGTTGCTTATATTAAAATTAAGCGCCAACGTACTTTCACTGAAACAAGAGTCCTGCGTGGATATGAATGTATTTATTTACTAGTTTCACAAACCCTCGTAATAATCAGCATCTTTGTTTAACATGCTTGTGAAAAACTACAATATCAAATACAGTATATTACAGACTCTGACTATAAAGATTATCTATTACACTTTTAAAACCAACATACTTTAATGTAATGGCTGTCAGTGCCGTTAAAAAAATAAAGGACAGACGTCATCACAGAGATCCTGTTGCAAACATTGCACTTCACCCATGCAGTCAGTAAAAACACATCATTCATCATCATCAGATCACACACACGTAGTCTATGTTCATATCTTGGTAAACCCTTTGTTGGTCATTGTAATACAATTGGAAAATCAGGTTTCTATTAATTTTTTGAACTGCTAGTTTTACCATTTAAAGCCAGCTCGAGGTCCCCTTCCTGTTTGCATAATATCCTTTTTTTGTTGTTGCAGAAAACAAACTAAAGGTCTTTGGTCAGAAAATGTCATTGGTCAGAAACATTTCTTGGTCATCATTTCATCTTTAAATTGAATCTTTTTCTTTCTAGACACACTTTATGCTCAGTTCATTCTTACACATTTCTTACGATTCCATTTAAGATTCCATTTAAGATTCCATTTAAGATTCCATTTAAGATTCCATTTAAGGTGCCATCTGTGGAAGTAATAGAGAAACAAAATGAGTAACAACTTAGGCAACACAACTTACATTTAAACAGGTGTTAGTAAAAATTGTGTTGTGTTTATACCTCAAATCGGCTGTAAACTTTCCTCTCCTTCCTCATATGTGTAATCTTCTCCAACAGCTTGTCACGCTCCTCAATTGACTTAGGCTGCCCTCTGCTAAGGGACCTGATACCTATTTCTTTCTCCCTTTTGGCATTTTTGTCAGCTTTGTCTTCTTTCTCATCATCAGTGACAGGAGCCTCTTTGGCAGCCTCGTTCCTGCTTTGGCTATTGGCAGAGATCTGCCCTAGAAGCAGCTTTGTATCGTCTCTGAGGTTGCTGCTTGAGATCACGTTGGCTGTTGATGATTGGAAGCGAGACTGGCTAGATTTTGGCTGCTTGGACTGTGGTGACGAAGGAACATCTGGTGTGATCTCTGGTGTGATCTCTGGTGTGATCTCTGGTGTGATCTCTGGTGTGATCTCTGGTGTGATCTCTGGTGTGATCTCTGGTGTGATCTCTGGTGTGATCTCTGGCGTTCCGGAGCAGTTGTTCTGGCTTACTCGTTCATTCGTTTTTTCATTACCAACCGACTCCCGTGTACTAGTCTTATTGACCTTATTTGTTGCCTTGGTATCACCAGTTTTCTTCGCAACAGGGTCAGTCTTTTCAGTCTCTTTCCTTGCTTCATTCTGACTGTCCATATTCATATTTTTAGCAGGTACAGGTGGCTCTGAAGGATTGCTTTTTAGATCTGATACATGACATGTTTCAGGCAATGAAGGGCTAGGGCTAGCAAGCTTGCCATCAGCTTTGACATCCTCTGATGATCCAAGAACCTTAGATTCCTTTCCAACACCCTTTGTTGTTTCAGTCTCAGGTGACAGAGAAGAAGGAGTTGAAGATGATTCTGTTTCAGGAGGAGTGGGAGTGACAGAACTTGTCACGTTGAGTTTGGAGGGAGGGGTCGCTTGTCTTTCTGATTGGGAAGCATTAGTAGTAGAGTCTGGGTTGACAGGAGAGCTGGTTTCTACTGGATAATGGTTGGGTAGAGCGACTGCTTGGGTGGGGGAAGCAGTATTAGTCACATTTTGAACAGATTTGGATTTACTCTCTAGGTCAGATACATTAGGTAGACATGTTTCAGGCAATGAAGGGCTAAGGCTAGCAAGTTTGTTATCAGCTCTGACATTGTTTGATGATCCAAGAACCTTAGATTCCTTTTCAACACCCTTTGTTTGTTCAGCCTTAGGTGAAAGAGAAGAAGGAGTTGAAGAGGATTCTGTTTCAGGAGGAGTGACAGAACATTTCAGGTTAAGTTTTGAGGGAGGGGTTGCTTGTCTTTCTGACTTCGAAGCGTTGGTAGTAGAGTCTGTTTTGACACGAGAGCTTGGTTCTGCTGGACAATGTTTGGGTGGAGGGTCTGCTGGGGAAGGGGAAGGAGTATTTGTCTCATTTGTAGCAGATTTGGATTTGCTTTCTAGGTTAGATACATTAGGTAAACAAGATTTCGGCAATGAGGGGCTAAGGCTAGGAGGTGTGCTATCGGCTTTGACATTCTCGGATGATTCAAGAACCTCAGATTTCTTTCCAACACCCTTAGGAACAGAGTTGTTTTCTGATTCCGGGACATCTTTTTCGGAAGGTGTAGGAGCACTTGATTCTTCAGAGTCTGTCTTTGTATGGGACTGTAGTGAAGGTTTGTTTGGCTCTGAACCAGCAGCACATGTGTCAGGAGAAATGTCAGATTCCACATGTGCAGAGTCAGTTGCTGAAATGGTATCAGGTGACGTCAGTTGGGAGTGTGCTGGCAGGGAGGGGCTGACAGATTCCTGTGCATTAGGGGACAATATGCTGGGAGTTACTGTTGAGCTTGAGTCTTTCTGGGTAACACTAGACGATATGGATTCTGATGAAGTGGAAGAAATAGCACGGGTAGACGAAGAAGGACTTGGACTGATCTGTGAACCAGTGACTGGCAGAATTTGTTCAGAGGATGAGCTTTGGCCTGATGGGTCAGAAGAAATGCTGGTTTCTAACTGAAGGGATTCATGGTTTGGAGTGTTTGAATCCAATACAGCTAATTCAGAAGATGGTGGGACCTTCTCTGAACTGGGAGTGAGTGAACTAGACCCTTTTGAGGTAGAATCAAGGCATGGGCTTTTACTTTTATCTGTACCTTGTGCAAGGGATTGCACGCTAGCTGGAGTGGCATTTGTTGGTGTAGGGGGATGGCTGGAGCTACTTGTTTTTACAGCAGGATTTGACAGCTTTGGCTCTTCTGGTGATTGGCTCTGAGGTTTCGATGTTTCTGCAGAAACAGGCAGAGTTGCTTTTGTTTGGTTGTTACTAAGCTCTATCCTCTCCGAATCAGTCGCAACTCTGGTTTGTTCTTGTTTACAGCTTTTGGAGGCATCCAAAGATAGACTGGCTGCTTTGCATGCTTCTGTAGATACTGGTTTCCCTGCATCCTTGGCATTAGCATTTTTATCTAACGAACCCTTAGATATAGAAGCATCAGCCGTCTTTTCTGATGTTTCTTTTGGTACAGGCTTCCCCTTTTCAACAGCTGTGTTGCTTTTCAGCTCCATTGGTGTTTTCATTGGAGCCTTCTCTTTGCTCTTTTCAGCCTCTGCAGAATTAGCAGCTTTGCGTTTTGCTGCCAGTTCTTTGAAAAACATGAGCCTATTATCAGGATCAGACATGTCTACATACAATGGAGCGGTGAGCAAAGGTTTGGGTGGCTCTACTGGTTGATCAGCTTTGGATTGGGGCACTGATGGTGAAGAATCTGCTTGCTCTACACTTGGCTGTTTGAATGTTTTTTGTGCCTCTGAAAGATCCTCTGAATTTGTATCCTTTGGTGAATCTTTATTATCTGGCTTACTGTTACCATCATCTGGTTTGGATTGGTCTGTGGCAGAGTTTTCTAAGGTGGCTGACTTCATGTAACGACTCCACTCAAAAGGTTCTCTTGCAGTCCTCCTTTGTCCCATAACTTGAGAAACAAAAGGCAGTTTTGTCTGTTCTGCCTCATCTTTGTCTCCTTCCTCATCCTGTTGGTCACCTGGAGCAGTATTCTTCTGGTCCAGAGAGCTGAATATCATAGAGGATCTTAGCCTAGAGCTCCTCGGTAGAGCTGCATTGTATTTTCGACGGAACGACTCCTCCCTTCGAAGGCCAGACATTTTTGGTTCCTTTTGTTCCACGTCCTCTAGTTTCTCCACTTCAGTTGTGGATGATGAGGATTCTGAAGGGGTTGGTGTTGTTTCCGCTGCTACTGCAGTGTTTTCATCAGGCAATTTCCTTGGCTGTCTTGTGGTGACAAAACTTGGCATCTGACTTGCCCTTGATATTGCAGGAACCCTAAATTCTCTGAACTTAGGCATTTTTGGGAGTGCTAAATCTATGCCTGCTGTTTGCTGTATGGGGTTAGAGGGCACTTCAAATGGATCCTGTGCATTTAGTGGTGCTGATGGCAGGCCTTCCTCTTCTGGATTATCATGTGCACTTAGAAATGAGCTAATCCTCCAGTTTCTTAGCCCCCGTTTCACCAAAGGATCCTTGCGGTCATTGATAGGCTCCTGGAAAGACTGCTTCTGATCAGTTGGATTTGATGGGGTGGGAGACGCTTGAAAGGCTTGTTGGTTGCCTAGACTCGATCTTCTAGGGTGAGATGAACCAAACGGAAAATCTGCTACGTGTTGCAATTCCTCTGAGCCTTTGTCAAATTCGGCAATCCTGGTAGATGTTAAATAGTTGAGCACAGGGTCAAAGTTATCACCTGGTTCGACGTCTGGTGGTAAACCAGGCTCAATATTAGGATCTGCCGAATAAAAGTCTTGGTTCCAGAACTTCTCATTGGCACCGGTATCTGCCTCTCTTCCTGGGGCTGGTCCAGGCTGCTGCCCCCTGTAGAACTGCCTTCCCAGGTTCTCAGATTCTGGCATTCCCTGTTGCTGCAGGAATGGCAAAGAGTATCTACCATGACCGCCTTCAGCATAACTGTGACGTTTGAAGGCAGGATTTTCCATCATGGGCATCCTGGAAGGGCCCTGATCAAAAGATGGATCCATGCGAGGATGCTGGGGTGTAAATCTACTGTGCATGTCTGCAGGGCCTTGCAAGGATTCCTGCTTTTTAAGGGCCATCATTCTCAAATCCATGCGTTCACCGTAAGGATGCCTTAGCCCCTCATCTGGATGACCGGTGTCCAGTGACTGAAATTTCTTTGTCTCCCTGTACATTGTTCTTTCACTTGGATATTGCCTCTTTTGTGAAAGGCTTAACTCTTCCATTGGAGCAAGGTTTTCAATGATCAGTGGTTGGGACTGAGCAAAAAGAATCCTAAACTCTTCATCAAAGGTCGTAACGAGCTGTCCAAGAAAAAGGTGTGCCATACAGCGGTGGAGCTTCTCAAAAGACCACATGAAGCTAGACAGAGACATGACAATAAGTATGAATTAACAGAAGCACTTCATTCATGACATACACATTTTATACAAAAAGAAACTAACTAAATGTATTCATAAAAACATATATCAATCACTCAAATTCTTGTGTGGTATGCAAGTGTAGAGGCGTGGCTTTCTGTGGCAGTTTTAAATGTGTTCACCTGTAGTTTCCACTCAGCACAGCCCTGCAGTCTGTCAACAAGAAGCGGTCCATCATCTGACCTGTGAAGGTGCTCCCTGAGCGGCAGTGGTACTTGATGCCTGACACTGTTCTCACGCGTAAAAGCTGCCAGACACACATAACCCAAAAATAAATATCAAGACACATGTTTACATATAGTGGTGTTAATGTTTAATTGCAGTCCAAGCTAGGTGGCAGCATTGTTTTAGCTAAACGAAAGGGCTCCATCTCAAGTTGCTTTACATAGTAGTATGCTGTTACTGTGATTTCTATCAATAAAAAAAACTGTCTATTCTTAAGTATATTTTTGTTTGCTCAATTTCTTTTGGAAAGAGTACAATTCAGTTTGAATAAGAGTAATCTCAATTCAGTTAAAAGGGCACTAGCCACATAATGTTGGCAAAGGAAAGGCTGATAAGTTGTCTTTGTTTGTATGAGGGAGTCACCTCTAGCAACAGCTGTGGTGTACCCACTGTACTTCTGCTTTTTTCAACAAGTTCCGTTAAATGGGCAGAGAATGACTATTTAAGGATATGTCTATTCTATATTTTTGCCAACTTATCCTGTGACTCATTACTATGTGACTTTCCTACTCTGTCTGTGGCTCTCAGCCTCAAGACCATTTTTTTTTTTTTTAAATTGAGGATTAGTCTTTGAAAATGAATGACATATATAAGCACAGATATAGCATGTCACTGTTGTTTTGAGCAAATTACTCTCAATCAGAAGTAAATAGTAAACTTGATGGGGACTTTATTTCAGCTCTGTTTGGTGCTCAAGTGGGTTAGTAACTGCAGCAACACAGTGACTCAAAGTCAACTACAGATCATCGGACAAAGGCCAGTGCAGCATTGTGCAACAATAATGTGTTTTCATAATTAGTTTGTTAGTCAGTCTAAACTAATTAAGTTTTGAAAACACATTATTGTTGCCCAATGCAGTCAGTAAGTTAGTTAGTGAGTTAGTTTCAGTTAAATTAGTTATTTACTTCTACTTTCCAGGTTCGCACATTTGAAGAAAAGGGAAACATGAATAGAATTTAAATGTGTAATCAACCTTTTCTGTTTGTTATTTTAACAGATTTTTTGAAGGAAAATGTGCTCACTTGAATGCTTTGTAGATCAACTCTACAGTTAGAAACCATGTTGACGAAGTGATGTGCGTTCTGCTTGTCTAAAAGGACGTAGACAGCAACATTTCTCATAGCAGCATTGAGAATATCCGCAAGTATGTCAACATCAGTAAACATGTCCATCACTATGGCAATCACCTGAGGAGATAGAAGCAAACAAACACATTGTAAAACACACTGTCAGGAGAATGACACTGTACTGGCAACTTAAGCAGGAAGTCTCATAGAAAGTGAAAGATCTACCTGCCGAGCATTCTTGATAAGTCGTCGGGCCTGCTCCTTGATACTCGGCATGTCAGGCTCAGGGGGGTTGACCAGAGTGGTGACCTCTGTGGGCCCGATGAAGTGGTGCATCTGAGGCCAGCCGAGGTCCAAGCCTGGGACGTCCAGGTCAGAGTGAATCGGCCAGTAAGTGTCTGAGGAGCCATCTCCTTCATCCTCTTGATAATATTGTTCAGGGTTGTTGCTCTGCTGAGGCACCTGAACAGAGCTCGAGATATACTCAATCTCAGATGAGGCCAAGAAGTCCACCACATCTGCTTTTTGGAGAAACTGGTAGTATCCCTCCAATTCTTCCTCAATGAGAGCGTCAATAGCCAAGCGATACTCTTCCCGATAGTGAGGGGGGAGGTAGTTGGGGTCCAGGGGGTTATCCCCGGCAGAGGAACACTGAGAACGATGTGCCATACTGAAGTCTAAAGAGAAGGTTAGAGCAAAAAGAGTCATGTGATAAATTCATTGTATTAATCATTTTAAAACCACAAATATGTTTCAGTTTCTCTAGATATCACAACAAGAACACCAGCAATATAGTTCTGAATGATACCTTAACTAGATCTAAAACAATTTTGATAATTTGACTGTTAAAAAACACTTTTTAAACAAAAATGGCCACATTTCTCTGGTTCCTGTGTCTCAGAAGAACAGGTATAACATAATACCCCACCCACCCTCTCCACCTGCAGCTGGACAGACATCGGAGCTCCTTCTCCAACAGACTGCTGCAGCTCCGCTGTCACAAGGACCGATACAGGAAAACATTCCTTCCCACTGCAATAACTGTACAACAAATCACCTCTGGCTGGCAGAGAACTCTCTGATCCATAGCTTCTCTTAATAACTGGACTTAAAATCCCAAATCACCCTGTACATTTTACTTTTATATTCAATTTAATATTTAATATTCCATTCCTTACACACTTATGGCGCATTTCCACTACAGCGCGGAGCTCGCTTTAAGCGTGCCGTGTCGTGCCGTGCCCGTTTTTGGTTGCGCTTCCACTAGGCCTAGTCACGGCCCGGCCCGGGGCCACTTTTTCACCTCTTTTCTGGCCCGACAAAATTGTGGTTCTATCGGGGCCAACAAACAGGGCTGAGTCGGGCTGAGTATGCTAAACTAGTGAGAGAATTGCTGGCAACTACAACAAAATGAACATATTTGACCGTGATTTAATTGTAATACACGTTTCAAAATGATGCCGAAGTAACAACATACTGATACCGGTTAGTAAAAACCATGAATTAATGCTTTGTCAAGTCTGCAGACAGACGGCAGGCGAAAAACCTTTTAAAATGCGTGTTTTTCGAGATGGAGATTGGCTAAGCTAACGCAGTATATGCTCCGACCGTCCACACTCACAACAACGGCCTATACAGACATAAATAAAGCGGCGACTGTATTCACCATGACACAGGCAGTCTGTGGTGTGTACTTGTTTAACTTTTGTCGAGTTTCTGAACATATATAAGGAGCTGTGAGTTCTGAGTGCTAACAGCTAACGGCTGTGTTGTTTTTCTGGAGTTCTCATTGAAGATGACGTCACGGCTCCGCCTACACTGCGTTACTATAGTAACTACCCCAGTTCCTAAACTGTAATGGAAGCGCAGCATGAAGTGAGTCGGCCCTGTTAAGGCCCAACGCGGCCAAGCCGTACCGAGCGTGGCCGAGGCCGACCGTGTAGTGGAAATGCGCCATTAAAGGGCCCATGTCATGGCCATTTCCACTGATCATAATTCCATTGTTGAGGTCTACTAGAATAGATTCATATTGTGCAATTTTCCAAACTCACATTGGTTTCTCATACAGCATCTCTGTAAACTACGTGTATTCACTGAATTTCACTCTCTGCCTTTAACGGCTCGTTGTAGCTCCAATAGCTCCAGCCCCCACCCTCCCTGTGAGCACAGTGTGCTCTGATTGGTCGGGACGTTGTGAATCGCGCTGAGCTCCGTGGAGGTGTGGTTTCCTTGTTTAGGATACATAGCGAAACACAGCCAAACTCATCCTGAGTACACACGAACTCACAGCCGAAGTAAAAACAATAAGTGTGGCTTGATATTGAGTAAGAAAAAGGTTGATAAACGCTGTGAGAATGGGTCTGCAGAGAGAATTTCGCCGCGATCCCAACTGTCTGTTATCAGCCTGCAGCCAGGGAGGAGAAATCAGCAGAGCTGCCTGCACTGAGTGTGTGTGTGAGGAAGTCCGTGGATTGGTCAATTTGGACCAATCAGCGGGGGCTTAACGTAACGGCTCCGCGGACGTAACGTAACGGCTCCACGGATTGGTCCATTTGGTTCCGGGTACCGCATGACCGTATCGCGTCATAGCTCTGGGCGTGGCTACTGGGTGTCCAGACGTCACGATGCCCAGGAAGAACATGAGAAATCTCCAACGAGGCGTTTTGGGGAGGTCTTTTCTGTGTTAGAGTTTTACTCCCTACAGGGTGTACTTTGAGGGTTTTTGACTCTGCAGACCGTTTACATGCATAAAAACCTTCATAACACACAAGGGGACGGGTAATAACCGGAAAAGCATGACATGGGCCCTTTAAAGGACACCTATCATGCTATATTTAAATGATATATTGTAGGGCCATACCTATATAAGGTATATTTATTAGGGCTGTCAAGTTAACGCGTTAATAATGCGTAAAAGCAAAAAAAAATTAACGCCACTAATTATTTTAACGCGATTAACGCATGTGTATTTTTTGTCCTCGGCCGCCGTAGTTTCAGAGCGCATCGAGTGTAAAATACCATCTACAAGCTGATGCTGACAGCCCTGCTCCTGCCGCCCGCTTGTGGCAGACCACACTTCCACGCTCACTGGCAGGCCCGGACTGGCCATCGGGAGGACCGGGAGGGAGTGTGTATGTGTGGCGCGACTCGCGCGAGCGAGGCACACCTTACGTGTTGTTGTTGTTGTTAGCATCTGGTGCTAGCTAGCTGCGCTAACGGATATAAGGAGATGTTTCAATGACATTTCGCCGACAACTGCGCCGAGCACTTGACTTTATGCAGGTAGCCAGACAGTGGGACATTGTACAAAAAGTCAGCACACTCAGCACGGACAGCAACATGATTGCAGCGTCCAGGCAGCTCCCATTCGAGCATATATGCCTTGAGCTGCACATAGCTCCAACGATCCATCACAGTGTCCACACACACACACACACACACACACACACACACACACACACACACACACACACACACACACACACACACACACACACACACACACACACTTATTGTATGAGGTTCCAGGTTGAATTGAGGCGAATATTTGTAATGTTCAGAGGTTGTTGTGTTTAATATTCATGAGAATATTTGTCATTGTTCAAATGATAAAACAAACATATAAAGCATATTTGTCCACTCTGTCCATATGTTGATAAGAGTATTAAAAACGTGAAAGATATCCCTCTAAGGTACATTTAGAACAGATCAAAAATGTGCGATTAATTTGCGATTAATCGCGATTAACTATGGACTATCATGCGATTAATCGCGATTAAATATTTTAATCGACTGACAGCCCTAATATTTATACGTTTCTGTTTTCAAAATACTAAACAGATCATGCATTTTAGCCATGCCTCATTTCGCTCTATGTGCCGTTTGCTGTCTACGGGGCTGATTCTGTGAGCTGCAGCTGACCACGCCCCCCTGCAGGAGAGGGGAGCCGTGCTCTGATCAAGTCAAGAGGGGGAGAAAAAAAGATCTCCGTCGTCCGTGTTTTATTATATTATTATAGGCCTATAGAGTCGTTATTCATTTGTTTTAAAGCTCAATAAATAACAAAGAAGACCTTTGACCGGCACTTTTCTAATTTTGTCCGGAAGATTTCAACTTTAACGGACATCTTGACCGGCGAAACAAACTGAAACTGAAACTCTGCCGCACGGTCCCCTCGTTCCTTGGAAGAGGCGGAGAGGTGGGTGTTTGTCATCTGCTGGTGGACTAACCGGAGAGAATTACAGTGCTTGCCTCGACGGGGAGGGATTGCATTGAATTAAAGCAGCGGGAGCAAACGCTTGCCTCGAGGCGGGAGAAAAAAAGCCACAGCGGAGAATAAACAGAAGCGTAACCATGGTAACTATGGGCGGGAAGTCTTCTTCGCTGCTTTTGTGGCAGACTACAGCGCCACTTACAGGCCTGGCATATGTACTACAGCGTCTCCAGCGCTTTCGAGCGGCAATGGCCGGCCGTGGCCCAACCCCACATTCCCCTGATAGGTGGAGAGTTGGCCCAATAGCCGTAGCGCCACTTTACTGACGTCAGTGAAGTGTTCAAATCTGGATCAGTTTTTATCAGATCCGTTGCAGCCCCTTTTTTAGAGACACTTGGTGAGTTCCCTGGAACACCGGGGACACATATTAATGTATAAAAGACGTACAAAAGTGCATTTTGCATGATAGGTCCCCTTTAATGTATATATAATATCCTGCTTTATATTTTGTTACTGTAAGTTTGTATTGCAACATGTATATGTTCTACTTTTTAATGCTATTTTATTTTTATTTGAGATGTTAACATTTTGGATTGTTAATTTCTAGTCTTTTCGTTTCTCTAATGTACAATGCCTTGTCTTTTTATGCTGCTGCAACGCAAACATTTCCCAAATTGGAATCAATAAAGTACTTCTAATCTTATCATATACAAGTGAAAAATCTCCATATGAAAGACATAAATCATAAGATTGACATCTCAAGGGAACATTGACCAACTTATTGGATCGAGAAAGAATGATCAGCTGCACCCCATCAATTCCTTTTAATCGTGTTTTTTCTAGGAATCAAGTTATGACATGATCACATCCTGTCATTTTACATAATTCTGTTGTCCATAAAACTGGAAACTGTAGTTTTGTGTTAACTTGTGTAAAATGTCAGATGTAACACAAGTGTTTTATTTGATTAAGCATCATGTTATGTTTGCATTAATTTGCCATACTGTGATGTATATTAAGAACAGATATTGATCTTATTTATATTATGACATGCATTTCTACCATACCACACAGACCTATAGCTAAATAATGCTCATTATTTTTCAGATCTGTATCTTCCATACAATAGATGCAGCCTAGAGGATTCCTATCAGTTAAAATAACTAAAGTAGTTTCAGCACAATGAATAAGCAGGAATCTAACCACAGGATTGATGGGTTTTTGGGTGTGGCTCCTCCCTCTGGCCAAAAGCACAAGTCTCCATTTGCAAGTTCATGTAAAGCCACTAATATGAGAAGTGCCGAGAGGAAACGTAACAACCCGAACAAAAAAACCCAAACAAACACGAATGACATAACTTTAAAATAGAACAAATGAGGCGACACACTTAGCCAACGGAAGGTTTGAAAGTCCAATGTTTTATCGACAAACACTTTTTCCACTGAGCAAGATGACAAATCGGAATTCAAATAAACGTAACACATATAAAACTTTCTATCCTAAACCGCGTAAATAATATGGTAGTTATTTAGTGAACTTACCACACTGTTATTGGCTCTTTACGCTTCTCCTTGGTTAAACGTTAAGTCCGTCATCTTGCCTTCTTCACCATGTTTTGCTCTGCCGCTGCGCCGTGCTTCTGGTCCAGGTGGGACTCGTCGAAAGTTTTCTGTTACATTACTTTTCCCCCGTCACCCAGCGAAACCCGTTTATTGTCATGCTTGAGGCATGTTGGCGAGAATGTTGGAGATAGCAAACAGAGAGTGAGAAAGACTTGCCGTCGATAAATGTCGCCCCGCCTCGACTTTAGCTCCACACAGACAGTTGACTCCTGCTCTTCACAGCTCTGTGTTCATGCCTGTCTCAGGCAGCTGAGCAGGCTGCACTCTGCTCATGTGTAATCTGTCCACTGGATCTCCAGCTGGCTGCTGCTACATCTGCGATACTGCTAAGTGGATCATTAAGGTGATATGAGGCCTATACTACTGTATACCTGCTCATATTCATTAATGTGTAAAACCTTTGTCATAACTCCTTATTAAACCATCCCTAATTGTACCACACATTCTTCACATTCATTTAAATATGAAACCAAATATGAAACCAAATGTTTATTTTTGTAATATCTGGAAAACAGATGTAATTTATAAATTGAAAATATATATAGAGAGAGCTATAACATAGAGCTGACATACCAAAGGACTAAAAGGAGATTACTTGCTTTTAAAATAATTAATAAGGTGTTATTATTAAGCAGATGTGGAAGAAGTACTCAGATCTTGTACTTGAGTAAAAGTAAAAAGACCAGAGTGTAGAAATATTCTGTTACAAGTAAAAGTCCCGTATTCAAAAGGTTAAAAGGTAAATGTAGTGGAGTAAAAGTACATAGCATAATGGAAATACTCAAGTAAAGTACAAGTTTCTCATAATTGTACTTAACTACTTGAGTATAATGTACTTAGTTACTTAGTTATTAAGTAAGACTTGCGTTGCAAGGTTATGGAAAAACATTAACATATCCATTACTGGATTACAAGGGATTATAACAGGCATTGTCCCGGGTCCCCAGACCCTTGGGGGGCCAAAGGCTCAAAGTTGGGGTTGTGCATCATTCTTTTAAGTTAATTTAGTAAGAAAGAGCAGCTTGCAGTACATAACCCGCTTATTACATTGCTCCTTACTAAATATACCTACTAAACCTTACTCAACCAACATATTGATCACTTATTGAAAAATTATGATTTTTTGCTTATTTATTTCTCATCCAATGATTCATGACACCAAAGAGCCCAGGGACCCTGCCCAATTGACCTAAACAAGGATATATATAATTGCACTCAGGCATGGCTAGCCAAAAATGATCAGACCTTTCAAAAGCAAAACCTTATCAGATGCCCAGAAGTGGCAAGGGAACAGAACCACATTTAAAGTTGTAAATCAAACAACCAATCTCTCAAGTAAAGAGTGAAGTTAGGCATTTTGTGTGGCAACAACGTTAACTTCTGAATGTGAACAACTCGCACCCCTTTCTGCAGGAAAACAATCTTCAGCCATGCGTGCCTAGCCTTGAAGTTGGAGGAAGGCCGTCAGTATATCCAAGATAGGAGCTTGAGCCACACATTTTGTTAAAACCTGAAAGGAGAGAGAAAATGAATGACCAAATAAAGTAATTTTCCTTAACTTGTTGCACCACACTAAGACCTCAAATAGCCTCGGCAGGATAAAATCTGATGACTAAAGAAAAGGAAGTGATGCAATGTTGCTGCTCGAGTGAAGACTTGAAGACAATCCCTCATTGTTGCCTTCAGGCACCACCCAAGGCACACATAGGAGCAGTAAGAATATAAACATGACAATAAAGTGTAACTGAGTTCATAGATATTTGCTAAACTACATACTGAGTGCAGCAATTACAACTGTCTTTAGTCTTTTAACTATGTGGCTCTGAAAAATGGCAAAAAATAAAATGTATTAGCATTAGTGCCCTTCCTTCTAGTGTTTTGACTGACAGGTTTGATTATGAAACATGATCTTGGCCAACTATGATTCATAGCTGGATCCCTTCCCGTTCAAAAAACATCTCCATATCAATCAAACGCATAAAGGGTAACTGATATGATTTGTGTGATAACATAATCTCCATCGAAATGAACTGTTATTGTTGAAGGTGAACAAAGATACAAAGTATTGCTTGGAATAAATAGTAGATTATACTGTATCATATATAACTGTGTACACATTGAGGCCTTGTGGATTAGGTCTAGTTTATTCAAAGGATTAATATATAACATTTCTACTGTGTCGGACACTCTCTAAGGTCAACAGATTGTTCGCCAGTTTATCACCAGTTCACCTCCTGGGCACTGTGTGGTTGATGTGACAATTAAAAGAGGATTTTATTCAAATCCTCCATTTTCACATCTACCTCATCAAACTGAGGGCTGTGCTTTTACATGTAATGTGGAAAAAAGGAGAAACTGTTGACATCTTTCACATGCAGATGTGACAGAAGCCAACCTGAGAGGTTTGGGCTTCTATGACCATCCACTGTATAAACTCAAAGCAAAACAACACTTGATTACCTCTCCCCTTCCCAAGGAAATGCCTTTTCTCGCACTGTTAACAAAAGTAAAAATTATTTGGCCATCTGCCATGTGATGGATCCACTCCAAAATGTGTTATTTTTTGGCCTATGCTACTCTGAAAAACTAACCTTATGGGTGGAGGTATATATGAAACTCCCATGTATTAATGCTAAAGAGGACATTAGAAATCCCACTTTTAGTAAAACAATAAAACTGCTTGATTGTAGGTTAATTTAATCTTTAGACTTTTGGTTCAGGGGAACTAATGGTAATGGGTATTAAACTCATAGCAGGAGAAGAAATAAGGATAACTGCATCAAAGCGAAAACTTACCACACACTGTTTTTTATTTGGAAAATTAAAAGCCTCATTAAAAGGGTGAGGTTTGACACGTGTCGGCAGGTTGCCTTTTAATGTGGGCACCCGCATGTCTGCACAGGTGTCAAAAGGGATAGTTTTTAGCCATGGGAGCCGCAAGGGGTGGAAATATCAATCAACAGGTTTTTGATGCTGAAAGATATCTCAACTTTATTGGATAGATTTCGATGACATTTTGCACAGAACACTTCCAGGATAAAAAAAATGTAAGCGACTTTGGGGATCCATTTACCTAACATTTGGTATTTCAAATGTAATGTCTCAACAACAACTGGATGGATTGCAAATACATTTGGTTCACATATTCATGTCTCCCTAATGTAGGGTTGATCCCCTGACCTTTCACCCTGGGCCATCATCAGGTTGTCCAAAACTTTGGATGATGACTAAATACATGCCAAGCTGATCATTTCCCCATCAACCTCAGTTAGAGTTAGCATGCTAACAGGCTAAAACTAAGATGATCAACATGGTACGTTATAACTGCTATCTACATATAAGCACTGCCTTTGTGAACATATTAACATATTGATGTTAGCATTTAGGACAGCCTACCATAGAGCTGACTCCCTCTACAAATGATTAATGAGCACGTTTTGATAAGTTGTATCTTTGGTCAGTAGAAGTATCTTAACAGCCGTTGTTCAAGTACTTTTACTTTGGTGGCCAACCACCGCTTCTTTTTTCAACTGGGAAACTGTGTGCTCATCTTTTATAATGTCTTAAGACTCTAATGATTAGGAGAGCAGGAGGAGGAAGATTGTCATGGGAGAAGGAAGAGGATGAGAAAGCAATGGGAAAAGGAAGAGCAGCAGCTGCAGAATCGCTTTTGTCGATGCATCATTCTATGGAGCAAACAGGAAGTCTTGGAAGTTTGCAAAGAGGTGAGATAATACTTAGAAGGCCCTCATAGAGATGAGGATGATGAATGAACACCAATAAGCACAAGTGGAAACACTTGGACTAGACTATTACTTGTAGTGTGGGGACGATTAGCCATGATACAAAGTCCATAAATACACACCTACCAAACCTGTCTTACAGTGATTCAGCTGAGATCACAACATTATTTTACGTGATTTAAAAAGAGGCCAAAGGAGAATTTGGTTTGAGATTAGTCAATGTGTGAGGATCCACCCTTATCATTAGAGGAAAGACAGGCTCTATATTTGTCCCTTAGAGAGGCCATGACAAATTCCAAAGATGTTTCCCCATCTTGTGTCGCTAAGAGATATTGTACACCTTTCAGTTCCTCTGTCATTGAGGCCACTGGCAGTGACTTCTCTACAGCTTTGACAGAGGAGAGTGGGGGTGTTCGACTAGACATAAACACACATGTGATACAAAACCAAAGCAGTGGAAACAACAGGCTCTTGTCAGTGCGGTATGTATAGACACACATCAGCATGGAGGTGTGGAATGGTTCCTGCCTGGTTGTGTTTAAGCTAAGATGCATTTGGGTTAGTACAGAGTCAGAGTCACTCACCCAAATGCACTTTACTCGAGTCACTTAAACAACTCCCTTATGTGAGTGACTCATACAAACTCACAAAGTTAGTCAACCAAAGCTGAGTTATTAACATGATCCATTTCCACACATATTGTTTATAAAAGAGTTGCACAATAGTGTGAGTGACACGTGGTATCGCCTTTATCGACAGTTTGCACAAGCTACTGAATTTTGAAACAAATCCAGTAGCTTTTTATATTTATCTGTTTATAAAAATTATTATATATATATTTTATATTATAATAAAATATTATTAAATTATTTCTATTTTCAAATAATATAATGATTAAATTATATTATTTACTGTTATTCATTTTGAGTTATTATAATTATGTCTACTATACCATTTTAATTTAATTTATTTCAATTAATTTATTATAAAAATATAATATGTTTTTTGATGATTTAAAATGATTAACCCAACCCAGTTAATAATTTTAAGGCCTACATTGTCCAGGTACTGACATACACATACACATACACATACACATACACATACACATACACCATACACGCACACAAGCGCACTCACACACACACAATTGTTGTATTACATTCATGCAAGTATTGATGAGGATTTGTGATTTCAGTCATTAACACCATTTGTTCATTTCAAACACTACCCCACACAATGGGCGTAGTACTGAGCAGCATGTTTGCATTTGTATCTGATTTGCATGTCATTTTGCATGTTGGCAGTGTTTGTGTATTATGGAGTGCATTCTCCTCTGTGTGTCTGTGGGTTATAAAAGGGTGTGATGAAAGATTTATACTCTCATTTTAAGAATCCTCTTCGGTCACATTAAGGATTTTCTTTTCTGCTTATTGTGCATGCATGTACCTGTGCATGCTTGTGCGCACCTGCACGTTTGAGTGTAATTACATTAGTGTGTCTGTGTGTGTGTG